CACTAAAAATTACTATTGAGAAATCAGTTTTCGATATACTTTGTCCAAGTTATATTTCACTTTGTGATATTGTGGTTGCTTTCATGTCTTTTTTATCCAGTATTCCACATCTTTTCTCTCTCCTAATATTTGCATTATTACTAGCTTTAATTTTTTTTTCGATCAAGCCACTTTTTAAATTGTCTCAATTTTGATAAATGATGCTAATCTATAATTTTTACTTAAAAATGTACAAAATAGGCAATTCTTTTTTCAGTGATTTTCATAGAAGCAGAATCACAAAAAAAAAACACTTTCATAATCTGTTAAAAATAAAATTAAGCTCTTAAACACTGAACGAACAGTATTTAAAACTAATATTTTTATTTTAATGGTGCTTTTTGAATCGATATTAGCTTTTCAAAATTACTGAACCAGCACTTGACTTGCATAATCGAAAATGCATATATTATTTTTGATAAATAAAATAACGAGGTCATTGTTCTTGGAACTCGGTCACAACGTCTTTAAAAATATATATTTTCCTCTTTCCCCAAAAGCGTTGTTATTGTCACAAAAAATGCAAAATGTTTTGCCAGCAATTAATTGCAATCATTGTTTTGCAAAAATACAAACTGATTCCGTTAAAATTGTTGAGAAAAGATTGATTAGTCAAACTCAAACAAAACTTAATTTTCATAACGACCAATTGAACACTGAGCAACCTTAAAATCATTGGTTAGAGAATGATCCGTAGTTTTATTTAAAATCTTTTTTGACATGAAAAAAAAATCAATCTATTTCGTAACATTACTAATTTTTTTTTTTTTTTTACTAAAACCTGCATTTAACTACAATGTTGTAGTTACGTACCTTCAAAGTATCTCCAATATGCATACATTCGTAACTTGGATGCAAAATAATCCAGTCTTAAACAGTCGTAAAGCTTGGTCCCTAAGACTAAGAAGAAGAGGAATGAGACGATTGTCTAATTAACACTATGATTGAAACCTCAACAGAATGAATCCTCTACCCTTTAAGAGACTAGCAAGATCTGAACGATTTCATTAAGCGCCAATAAAATGCTGAAATGACTAAAAACCTAACAACAACCGGTAAAAATAAGATTTGTCCGAAGGGGATAAAAGGCCGCTTATTATTACGAAATAGAAGTCAAACGAAAAAAAAAAAAAAAAAAAATCAAACACTGTCATCATCAAGCCAGTTCCTCTCACCACTTCTTTTCTTTCTCTAATTCATTTTTGTTTTCCTTTCTTCAGCTGCCCGACTTCCCAACTGGCAAGACAAAATTATCAAACAAATTCGGGTTTTAGTTGTGTCCCGCCACACCTGCTCTTAAAATATAAACTAAAACGTGATGAATATATAATCCTAAGGCAGGTGGGTAAATTGCTTGTCTGAGTGACCGTCTCAATAAATAATATAGTTGGGACAAAAATTACAATCATTTATTTGACAAAAAAAAGGAAAAAATCTCTTGCTATTGTTAGTATGATTAGTAGTACAAAAAAAGATTCGACTAAAAAACTGAATAACAATTAAAGGCGACAAGGGTAGATAATCCGACATATGCAATGCAGCCTCAAGCCATTACAAACTAAAACAGCTGTAATGACCCCAGATGCAATGCTATTTATTCAGAACAGAATTCCGTTCTTTTATTCATTCACTGATTTTTGTTTGAGGATAATTCAACTATCTCACCAGATGCCATTTTTAATCTTCTTTAAACCATTTTAATCCAACGTTTTTAAATTTTCAAACACAAAAATTATCAAACCAATATTTTTTTATCCTAACTGTTTTTAGATGCTGATGTCTGTTCCAGCCAAAAAAACCTAAAAGGTCAGAAATTCAGAAGCTCCTTGCTATACACATCTAGAAAATAGTTTGTACTCAAACTGTTAATCAGATTTAATTGCAAAACGTAAACAATACTTATATTATAAATAAAAATGTCGATTTCTTATCAAGACTAATTTTCTGTAATTTTCCAGTTTCCTCCACTCTCACCCGTTTTCATTTAAAATAAATCAACAAAGCCATCTCGTTCTGAAAACCTTTTATTCATTCCTTTTTCAAAAAATTTGCAGATTATAGAAAGACTTTCTTAAATTGAATTTAAGAAATTCTTTTTATCACAATGTCATGTAAGAATTTAATAAATTCATATCTTATATGACATTGTAATATTCAACCAATCTGATAACCAAGATTCAATCCATAAAAGCAAAGAGTTTTTGGCAAGATGCTTAAAGCTTTCAAGTCTAACCTCTTCTTAAGTCAGCTTGTGGGTTAAATTGTAAATTTAACCCGAGAGAAAGAGTCTAATAATAATGATACAAGTGTCTCCTTGACATATTGCAAACATATGCAGCCTGAAGACAAAAAAGTAGAGTTGAGCTAATAAGGCAGCATTCAGAAATTATTTTAAGCTAATTTTATTCACTTTGAGAAATACTCACATTTTGGCCAATGAGTTTTCTGTTTATTCAAAAGGTAATTAAAACAAAGATGATATGCCAAGTATTTATGCATATAAAAAAGATATGTAAAATATCAAACTTGAAATTTTATGCTTCTTGAGAATTTCAGGAACATGTCACTAAGAAAGCTGCAGGACTTAAAAAATCTGGAGGAGACATTTACAATGTTTTTTTTTTGTTTGTTTTTTTAATGTGTGCCAAAACTAAAGATTTCTGACAATGTATTTATTGAGGTAAGCAGATTGTTGAAAATATCTTCTGTGTGAAACTTAAAAAGACTGAGTAAAAGTTTTTTAGTCAATCTTTTTAAGTTTCACACAAAAGATACTTGCAACAATCTTACCAAAAACAAAAGTAGGATTCAACAAATCAGAATGTGTGCCTCCAGCATAACTGTTCAATTACTTACAAAAAAAGGTTCAAGCTTATATTCCTACTTCTTACTTATTCTACTGAACTTTGATATTTTTTTTACCCCTATTTTGTTTCCTTATGTATTGTCATAGAATGTAAATAAGAAACAAATCTAAAATCTTGGTTATAACAGTAAAAAAGGAATGACGAAAAAATTGTTACCAGAGGAAACATTTTAATTTTTTTTGTTTATTCAGCATGTGACATACACTACTTCTCATAATCAAAACAAAACATTAAAAAACAAAAAACAAAAAAAAACTCAATATAGGTAAGTTTATTAATGTACAGCGAATTATTCACAAAAATAGCTCTCATAGAGAAATTTATGTAATAAATGCATTTTTTTTTTTTTTGTAAACTGACAAACAGTTTGACATACATAACAAACATCACTTTTTAGATGCGTAGTTAACCATGAAAACGATTTTTAAATGAAATGAATTTAAAAATCCTCACTTGGTAACATATCTGCGGATCGGATGTCATTTGTACCGCCGCCCCCAACAGGCCATTTAGATTGATACTCGTTTATATTAAAAAAGATATAACAGCAATTTTTTTTATTTTTTTATGTAATCCCAATTATATTCCAAGATAAAAAGACTATTTTTATAATTAGTGTCTGTGTATCAGGGTTGCCATGAAGACATTTGAATCCTTTTGCTTCCCATCCCACCGGAAATATCGCAGCAGACGCCCATACTGAGTGTCCCACTATTGTGCTCTTGATAAATTAAGTTTGATAGCAGAAAAGGCAAAAATAAAAAAAAAGGTAATTTTTTTCAAAACAATGAAAGATTTTAACACCTAATTTTGAATGTCAAGCTATGTTGTGATAACGGAGTTAAAAATTAAATCAACTTCTACGCTTTGTTTGCTGGATAATGTTTTTAAAAAAAAACAAAAAACAAACACTTGTGCAAAAAAATCCTTACCTACATTTTTAAAGCTTAGAAAATTAAACGACTCTTTCTTAGTCCTCAACCTCAATTTATTTTTAATTGTAGAGACTGCCCACAACAAAGAACTACTCACGGAATTAAAATCAAGAAATTTTATTTTATTTTTCTTCTAAGTATCCCCCCCCCCACGCACATTTATTAAAATTTAAAAATAAAATATTGAAAAAAAAAGAAAAAAAAAGGACAAACACAAATTAAATAAATGATCTTAATGAAAAAGTTATGGATAAGTGTCTTTTCGTTCAAAATGAATGCGATATAGATTTGTTTTGTGTGTAATTAGTGTATTTTGAATAATATATGTGTGGCCAAGAGGCAGTTTAAACTAAGTCTCCCTTATCATCTGTTGTAGTTCCAATGCTACAGCCATGCACACACTGTGCTATACGTAGGTAGTAGTTGCTGGATGTAATAAACATTTATTTTAAATATTTTAAAGAATGGACGACTTATTCAATAAAAATATTTTATTGGCACATCGATATGTAAGGGTCATTCTGTAGCATCAACAAAACTAGTTTCTTCTGCGATGACAATGTAAAAGTGGCATACTACTGTAAATAAAAATGCTTTAAACTGCACAACACACTGACTACAGTTAGGTTTCGTTTACAATATAAATCAGATTTGGGACTAAAATCGAACATTACTTTTTTTAGTGTACGGTCTCCTTGAAAGAGAAGTTTAAACACTTACTACTTGAATAAAAAAACATCCAAAAATCCAATTATTATTAGGTAAGTTTTTTAAGTTATAATAATATCGAATAAATTTATTTGATGATACAAACACAAAACTCAAATAAGTTGTTTTAATATCCGAATAATTAGTGAATGAAAATTTTTAAAATGGTGCAAAATAGCTGACGTTTTAACTTATTTTATTTAATAAGTTAATTTTAAAATGAATGATAATTTCTCAGTCCATCTGATTTTCTGTGAGGAGTCTACATTATTTACATGCGTTGTTGAATTCTGTCAAATTGTTTTGTAACGATGAGAATACAAGCATGAAGATGAAAATTATAATTCTTTGAACTGTCTCATTATTATCATGCAAACATGTGCGAATAGATAATTAATTGACTGTACAAGAATTTCTTAGTTTGAGCAACAACATCTGGTGTTCCCCTTACCTGACAGCGAAGGGCAGAGACGATTTGTGACTGTGGTGAGCAGGGTAAACAAGGAAGTAAGCCCATTGAGATTTCATGATATCAATTCAAACTGTTTTTGTACGTTTGACAACAGCTGCTGCAGTTACGGTGAGTTAACGAAAAAGCAGCAGCAGAAATAGGAGAATAGTTATTATAATAAGAAATTAGTATTGATGGACGGAGAGAGGGTTGGCTAGCCGATTAACAGCGGTCAAACTGATGACTGACACACATACACGCCATAGCAGCAATAGCAGCAGCAGCCACGACCGCCCCCGCCTATCCAGCTCTCTTTATATCCGACAGGCAAAATGGAAGAGCAGGGGTGGCTTTACTATGATAATAATAATAGAGATATAATCATAATAAAAATACAAACAACAGTAGCAACATTCGTTTTGTTTTGTTTTGTGCTGCCGAGGAAAGTGGTGGAGATTGGGTTAAGAATATTGTTTGTACTTGAGGGAAAATAAAATAAAGTGTTGATTATCTCTTCTTCAACGAGTCAGATTGAAAGAGGAGTTTTGAGAAGAAAACAGAAAAATAAAATGGACGGTAAAGGGATATGCAGTGCGATAGAAGGGAAAGAGAATATAGCAAACTCGAGAAAAAGAATGTGAAAATGATTAAGAGAATAATTACTGTGAAAAGAGACGGGAAAGGGGGAGAGAAAGAGAGACGGGAAAGGGAGAGAGAAAGAGAGACGGGAAAGGGAGAGAGAAAGAGAGACGGGAAAGGGAGAGAGAAAGAGAGACGGGAAAGGGGGAGAGAAAGAGAGACGGGAAAGGGGGAGAGAAAGAGAGACGAAAAAGCAAGAGAAAAGGGATAGAGCGAGACCGGAAAGCGAGGGAAAGGGGGACCGGAAAGCGAGGGAAAGGGGGAGAGAGACCGAGAGCGAGGGAAAGGGGAGAGAGACTGAGAGCGAGGGAAAGGGGAGAGAGACTGAGAGCGAGGGAAAGGGGGGGAGAGACTGGAGAGCGAGGGAAAGGGGAGAGAGACTGAGAGCGAAGCTAGGAAAGGGAGAGAGAGAGCATAGAGCAGGGAAAGGAGAGAGAGACTGGAGAGCATAGAGCGAGGGAAAGGGAGAGAGAGACTGGAGAGCATAGAGCGAGGGAAAGGGAGAGAGAGTGAGAGCATAGAGCGAGGGAAAGGGAGAGAGAGAGGGCAAGAGCGGGGAAAGGGAGAGAGAGGAGAGCAGAGCTAGGGAAAGGGAGAGAGAGAGAGAGAGAGAGCGGGGAAAGAGAGAGAGAGTGAGAGCGTAGAGCGAGGGAAAGAGAGAGAGAGTGAGAGCGTAGAGCGAGGGAAAGAGAGAGAGAGTGAGAGCGTAGAGCGAGGGAAAGGGAGAGAGAGTGAGAGCGTAGAGCGATGGAAAGGGAGAGAGAGTGAGAGCGTAAAGCCAGGGAAAGGGAGTGAGAGTGTAAAGCGAGGGAGAGAGGGATAGAGCATAAAGCGAGGGAGAGAGCGTAAAGCGTGGGATAGAGCGTCAATCGAGGGAAAGGGAGAGAGAAAGACAGAAAAGTGTAGGAGGAATTGTGAAAGCAAAGGAAAAGGGTTGAGAGAGAGAGAGAAACAGGTGAGCAGAGGAACGGGACAGAGAGAGAGAGAGAAACAGGTGAGCAGAGGAACGGGACAGAGAGAGAGAGAGAGAAACAGGTGAGCAGAGGAACGGGACAGAGAGAGAGAGAGAGAAACAGGTGAGCAGAGGAACGGGACAGAGAGAGAGAGAGAGAAACAGGTGAGCAGAGGAACGGGACAGAGAGAGAGAGAGAAACAGGTGAGCAGAGGAACGGGACAGAGAGAGAGAGAGAAACAGGTGAGCAGAGGAACGGGACAGAGAGAGAGAGAGAGAAACAGGTGAGCAGAGGAACGGGACAGAGAGAGAGTGAGAAAGACAAGAGAGCAGAGGAACGGGACAGAGAGAGAGAGAGAGAGCGAAAGACGGGAAAGGAGACGGGAGGGAGAGAGAGAGAGAGAAGAGAGAGAAAGGAGAGCAGAGGAGGGACAGAGAGAGAGTGAGAAAGACAAGGGGAAAAGGAGAGAGAGAGAGAGAGAGAGCGGACGGGAAAGGGAGACGGAGGGAGAGAGAGAGAGCGAAGACGGGAAAGGAGACGGAGGGAGAGAGAGAGCGAAAAGACGGGAAAGGAGACGGAGGGAGAGAGAGAGAGCGAAAGACGGGAAAGGAGAGACGGAGGGAGAGAGAGAGAGAAGAAGACGGAAAAGGAGACGGGAGGGAGAGAGAGAGCGAAAGACGGGAAAGGAGACGGGAGGGAGAGAGAGAGAGCGAAAGACGGGAAAGGAGACGGGAGGGAGAGAGAGAGAGCGAAAGACGGGAAAGGAGACGGGAGGGAGAGAGAGAGAGCGAAAGACGGAAAGGAGACGGGGGAGAGAGAGAGCGAAGACGGGAAAGGAGACGGAGGAGAGAGAGAAGACGGGAAAGGAGACGGAGGAGAGAGAGAGAGAGCGAAGACGGAAAGGAGACGGAGGGAGAGAGAGAGAGAGAAGACGGGAAAGGAGACGGGAGGAGAGAGAGAGAGAGAAGACGGGAAAGGAGACGGGAGGGAGAGAGAGAGCGAAAGACGGGAAAGGAGACGGAGGGAGAGAGAGAGAGCGAAGACGGAAAGGAGACGGGAGGGAGAGAGAGAGAGAAGAAAGGAAAAGGAGACGGGAGGGGAGAGAGAGAGCGAAAGACGGAAAGGAGAGACGGAGGGAGAGAGAGAGAGCGAAGACGGAAAGGAGACGGGAGGAGAGAGAGAGAGCGAAGACGGGAAAGGAGACGGAGGGAGAGAGAGAGAGAGCGAAAGACGGAAAAGGAGACGGAGGGAGAGAGAGAGAAAGACGGAAAGGAGACGGGAGGGAGAGAGAGAGAGAGCGAAGACGGAAAGGAGACGGGAGGGAGAGAGAGAGAGCGAAAAGACGGGAAAGGAGACGGGAGAGAGAGAGAGAGAGCGAAGACGGGAAAGGAGACGGAGGGAGAGAGAGAGAGCGAAGACGGGAAAGGAGACGGGAGGGGAGAGAGAGAGAGCGAAGACGGGAAAGGAGACGGAGGGAGAGAGAGAGAGCCAAAGACGGAAAGGAGAGACGGAGAGAGAGAGAGAGCGAAAGACGGAAAGGAGACGGGAGGGAGAGAGAGAGAGCGAAAGACGGGAAAGGAGACGAGAGGGAGAGAGAGAGAGCGAAAGACGGGAAAGGAGACGAGAGGGAGAGAGAGAGAGCGAAAGACGGGAAAGGAGACGAGAGGGAGAGAGAGAGAGCGAAAGACGGGAAAGGAGACGAGAGGGAGAGAGAGAGAAGACGGAAAGGAGACGAGAGGAGAGAGAGAGAGCGAAGACGGAAAGGAGACGCGAGGGAGAGAGAGAGCGAAAGACGGGAAAGGAGACGAGAGGGAGAGAGAGAGAGCGAAGACGGAAAGGAGACGAGAGGGAGAGAGAGAGAGCGAAAGACGGAAAGGAGACGAGAGGAGAGAGAGAGAGAGAAAGACGGAAAGGAGACGAGAGGGAGAGAGAGAGAGCCAAAGACGGAAAGGAGACGAGAGAGAGAGAGAGAGCGAAAGACGGGAAAGGAGACGAGAGGGAGAGAGAGAGAGCGAAAGACGGGAAAGGAGACGAGGGAGAGAGAGAGAGAAAGACGGGAAAAGAGACGAAGAGGAGAGCGAAGAGGGAAAGGAGAGAGAGAGAGAAAGACGGGAAAGAGAGAGAGGAGACGGAGAGGGAGAGAGAGAGAGAGCGAAGAGGGAGGAGACGAGAGAGAGAGCGAAGACGGGAAAGGAGAGAGAGAGAGAGCGAAAGACGGAAAGGAGAGACGAGAGAGAGAGCGAAGACGGAAAGGAGACGAGAGAGAGAGCGAAGACGGAAAGGAGACGAGAGAGAGAGCGAAGACGGAAAGGAGACGAGAGAGAGAGGAGACGAAGACGGAAAGGAGACGGAGAGAGAGCGAAGACGGAAAGGAGACGAGAGAGAGCGAAAAGACGGAAAGGAGACGAGAGAGAGAGCGAAAGACGGGAAAGGAGACGAGAGAGAGAGCGAAAGACGGGAAAGGAGACGAGAGAGAGAGCGAAAGACGGGAAAGGAGACGAGAGGGAGAGCGAAAGACGGGAAAGGAGACGAGAGGGAGAGCGAAGACGGGAAAGGAGACGAGAGAGGGAGAGCGGAAGACGGAAAGGGAGACGAGAGAGAGAGAAAAGACGGGAAAGGAGACGAGAGGGAGAGAAAAGACGGAAAGGAGACGAGAGGGAGAGAGAAAGACGGGAAGGAGACGAGAGGGAGAGAAAGACGGAAAGGAGAGACGAGAGGGAGAGAGAAAGACGGGAAAGGAGACGAGGGAGAGAGAAAGAAAAGGAGACGGAGAGAAAGGGGAGAGAAGACGGGAAAAAGAGAAAAGGAGACGAGAGAGAAAAGACGGAAAGGAGACGAGAGAGGAAAGACGGGAAAGGAGACGAGAGAGAAAGACGGGAAAGGAGACGGAGAAAGACGGGAAAGGAGACGAGAGAGTGAAAGACGGGAAAGGAGACGAGAGAGTGAAAGACGGGAAAGGAGACGAGAGAGTGAAAGACGGGAAAGGAGACGAGAGAGTGACGGGAAAGGAGACGAGAGAGTGAGACGGGAAAGGAGACGAGAGAGGACGGAAAGGAGACGAGAGGACGGAAAGAGACGAGAGTGACGGGAAAGGAGACGAGAGAGTGACGGGAAAGGAGACGAGAGAGTGACGGGAAAGGAGACGAGAGAGTGACGGGAAAGGAGACGAGAGTGGACGGGGAAAGGAGACGAGAGAGACGGGAAAGGAGAAGGAGACGGAGAGGAGACGAGAGGGAAAGGACGAGAGAGAGAGAGAAAAATGGTGAAGGGGGCTAGAGAGAGACAAATGGTGAAGGGGGCTAGAGAGACAAATGGTGAAGGGGGCTAGAGAGACAAATGGTGAAGGGGGGGGCTAGAGAGACAAATGGTGAAGGGGGCTAGAGAGACAAATGGTGAAGGGGGGCTAGAGAGACAAATGGTGAAGGGGGCTAGAGACAAATGGTGAAGGGGGGGTAGAGAGACAAATGGTGAAGGGGGGCTAGAGAGACAAATGGTGAAGGGGGGCTAGAGAGACAAATGGTGAAGGAGCCTAGAGAGACAAAATGGTGAAGGAGCCTAGAGAGACAAATGGTGAAGGAGCCTAGAGAAAGAAATGGTGAAGGAGCCTAGAGAAAGAAATGGTGAAGGAGACAAGAGAGGGGGGAAGTAGATGAGAGGGAAAAAGTGAGATGAGTGACAGAGAGGAGAGAGATAAGTGAAATTAGAGGAGAGAATGATAGTGGTCCAGAGAGCAAGAAAACAGAAAAAACAGTATGAGAGAGAAAGGCTAGCAAGTCTGTACACATAGGGTGTTGGTGGAATTATAGAAAAGAGTGTACAACAGAATGCAGAAGGTGAAAAGATACAAAGGAGAGCAAAGGTACATCAAGGCACGGCCGGCATCCAAAGGTATATCAATACATGTGGGGTCATCCTAAGGTACGTCGAGACATTGGGCCAGAAGGGGTGAGGGTTCCAACCAAAGGTATCTTTAGACATTTTTGGGGGGGAGGGTTCCATCCAAAGGAACGTCAAGACACAAGTATGACAAGATGGAGAGAGTGCATGAGAGAATTAGTGAGACACGGGAAAAGATGGAAAAGAATAGAATTAAGGGTAAGACAGATATAACAGACATGGCAAGTAGAATAAGAGAGGGATGGCTAGAGATGAAGAACGAGATAAAGACAGATGAAAAATGTTGAGGGCAGACAGCTAGAAAAGAAGGCAGAGATGTTGGTGAGAAAGAGGCAATGAGAGAAGAGAAAAATGAAAATTGACAGGTTAAAAAAAAGTATGACAATGTAGAGTGAAAGTGAAAAAGATGAAAATAGCTATGTTCTTCAGAGAGAGAGAGCATAGCTGCTGGAGGGAAAACAATGCATGAGTGAAAGAGAGAGAAAATTGTTGGAAGAAAAGGGAATGATAAAAAAAAAGTTAAAGCAATGAGGAAAGATAAAAAGAGAAACAAGGAATAAAGAAAACAGAGAAAACATGACAATCAACCTTTCAGTTAAGCATCTTGAATCATTTCATTTTGCTTTGAAAGCAGCTCAGAAGAAATAACCTTTCCACTTGTCGATTGACTTAAAAAGCCAGCATATTAAGTGCTTAGAAGGAAACTAAAATATTAAAAAAAAAAAAAAAAAAAAAAAAAAGAAAGAAAAGGCTAAATTATGCAAAAAGAGTGTTTTCCAAACACTAGGCACCATGGATCAGCAAAAACTGTATTTAACCATTTTCGGTACATAGACAACTAAAAGCAAAAAATGATTGCTCCTTCACAAGCATGTTGGAAGAAAACAAAAATCACAAATGTCGTTAATTTTGAAGATTTGATTTTCTCTCTTTTCTTCCTCATCCGCAACCTTATATACAACAGTTTCAAAATTTCTACAAAAATGAAAATTTGGCCATTTCAGTCCTGTATGTACCTGGCCTGTCACATTCCACTTAATATATTTTGATATATAGAATCATGGCATACACATATGTAGAAAAATGTAAGTCACTTCCAGCAGGATTCTTTGTTAACATCAAGTTACTTAGTTTCTTTGTATATTTTGTACAGAATTCATATAGATAGGATTTATTAAGCTTAGCTTAGTCTGGCACAAGGCCACCATAAAATAGCATTCATGAAAATCAAACATTACAGTAGCTAAATGGCCTACAGGTACTTATTACTATGTTCAGTTAAGTCTAACACGAAGCCACAAATATAAGACACCCAGTGAGGAATTATAAATAAGCAAAACTGTGAGTTAAAAGGACTAAAACCCAGCTCAGAAGAGAGGTTTTTCAAAATGCCTTTAAATGATTTATCTGAATTTCTGAAGTGAGGAGTTATTTACAAATGGACTATTGTCCTTATCTTTGTTGTCATTTATCAATATGTTCAGGTTGTTTTGCCTTCCAGCCTTCTTCAGGTGCTTCTTGATTTGAGTAACCTTCATGGAATTTCAAACTGAACCCATAAGTTCATAATATCAAAACCAGTTGAGTTGAGAGATGCTCATTTGAAAATAACATTGGATAGTGGTCTAAAATAATAATATATGAAAACAGAATTTCTTTCAAAACTTGCCAGTTTATCAAAAATACAGTTTATATTCTTCCAAATGGACAAAATATAACATCTTTTTATAAGTCTTTCTTTTTACACCTTTTATCAGCATATAAACACAAAAGTGTATTTTTACAAACATCTCACAAAATAAATATAAATAAAAACTGAACATGAATAAAGATTTTAGCTCATCATGAATTATCATGGGAAATAGATTATGCATATTTAAGTTATGGCAATGGATCTAACAACTTCTAAACTGGTATAACTGCCAAAGTAAAAAAAAAAAAAAAGAAAACAATAAAAAAAAAAGAAAACAATGAAAAAAAAAAAAGGTTTTGGGGGTGTTTTTTTTCTCTCTCTCTCTCTCTCTCAACCATTATAGTATACTAAAAATGAAACACTTTTTAAAAAAATACTTGGTGATGGGACAGAGTTCAGGGAGAAGTGGATTCACGACTTTCCCAATGGCATTTATGCCAAGTAAACATAAGCAGCCGAAGACACAATTTCAACTTGGTTTGCTAACGAAGTGAATAATAAATAAATAAATAAAAAACTAAAAAGAAAACTATGGCTGCTCTTTTGAGATTACTGTAATACTCAGATTAATCTCCTGTGTGTGTATATATATATATATATATATATATCATATACACACAGAAGTATTTAACTCCTCATGGAGTATATACTAAAATGGCACACGGGATAAAGTGCTGAATAACGAAATGACAGAGCTTTATATTATGATTATCATAATGTTCCATTGTACATACAAATGACTACAACTATCAGTTTCTTGCATGCTAATGCACCCAATCCTTGGGCAGACAGTACTGGTCTGTTAGGGATTTATAGTGCCCTTGACTTACTTACTCAAGTTGTTACAATGAGGGTAAATTGCAAATACATATAATATACTCACCAACTGAAATCACCAGTTGTGGATACCTATATAGCCAAGGATTGAATAGACCAAAAAAAAAAAAAAAAATCAATATCCACCCCACCACCTGCCTCAAATAGAACATTTCATAAATAATCTGATTGTACCTCATCTTTTGCCAGAGATTCCTTCACAGTAGTCAGCAGAACACATCCAGATCATCATTTGTGATTGTTTGAGACTCTTTATATTAAGTCTAAGCAGCCTTCCATCTGTATGTAGAAGGAATGGTTGCTGGGTCTAAATATAATCTATCTGTGATTTAAACTGCTAATTCTCTGGTAGTATTTTTTCCCCCTTTTTTAGTTATTATATTTATGTTTTGTCCCTGACTGATGTCTAAAGAGTTATTCTTTTGTTGTTTCTTTTCTTGTTAGACTTTTCAATCCACCACTTTAAAATAATTGTTTTAATATATTTATATTTTGAAACTAAATCAATTTTAAGAAAGACATGTTTGTAGCAATACAAAAACCTCCAAAGTACAATTAAAAAAATACTTTTATTTCAAAAAAATAAAATTTTTTTTTCAAAAATATAACATTATCTAAACATGATCTAACATTATTATTCATCCTTGACCAATAAAAGGATTTGATAACATTTAGTGCATAGATAATCCAGGCTAAATTATCCTAGAGAAGAGGAAAATAAAGAGGAAAACTTGTATTGCTTTGACAGTGTCAGCTCATAAAAAGGTACAGAAAGGTTTTAGAAGCCAAAGCAAAGACAGAAATGATAGACAAGGAGAAGCCACATGAAATGCAACTGGAGACAGTCCAATGAAACAAACTGAAGCCCAGAAAACATCAGAAATTACAATCAATCATATTCTTTCCTGTTTTCATTTCCTTCAACTAATGCCAAAACATTAAATCCCCAAGTGATTTCATTTTGCAGCTTTCTTTATTTGATGCATTAACTATGACAAAAAGTATTTCCAAGTCGGGTTCAGTGGCTGGATAACTGGTCTGGTGGGTAGCTTATTCCAGAGGTCTTGTAAATATTAGATTTTGTCCATTTCCACAGACAATTAAACTTAGCTTACCAGAGAGAATCTTAGCAAGAAAGGAATCAGAACATTTGCATCATTTAAAAAAGTTCTATTAAATGTGATTATGTGCAAATCAAATTCTACATTGTATATCTATGGATTTAAAAGCAGATCACTTGAATTACAGTCAAAAGATTTGATCTACCTGTCATACATTTTTTTTTCACATGAGCATATTCTAGGTGCAGTTGAGTAAACTACATGTTCACATGTTAATGGGCAGCCACTAACAAAATGGTTACAGATCTCCACCTAGTGGCTTGAAGGTCATCTTTCAGGTCAACTTACTGATGTAGCTGGCTTCTCTGAAACCTCAGCATAATAGCAAGTGCAAAGTTCATTTTAACATCTACAGTGAGTCATAAAAAATGTAACCTTCTGCCAAACTTTATTTAGACAAAATAATATTGTTTTAAGTAATTAGAGTTTAAGCCAGGAATACACAACACATTTCTTGCTAATACAGAATGGTCCATATTTTAAATGGTCAGTCTTGTACATTGAAAATTCACATCAACCATGTACTTGGTGATTTGGGCACAATGGTTGTAATGGTCTGATGGCAGAGAGGTTGATAAATTTCGTTATATTTTTTGCAGCAATTATTCTTGTAAACATGTCTTATTTTTAACTATTTTGTGTCTGTTAAATTTATTGATCATCTTTTCTGGCATGCAAATAACATTTCGCAAATGTGGCTGTAGTTAAAAATATAAAAATGCCAAAATTTGTATTTTGCAGTTCACAGCTACATTTGCAAAATGTTATTTGCACATCAGAAAAAAAAAGGTCGATAAATATAAGACATAAAACATCTATTTTCTTTTTAATAGAAAATGTCATTATCTAGACAGAGAACAAAATTAATTTTAAATCAAGATAGAAAAAAAAACAAAAATAGTTCTTCTAACAGTCAGTGTCATATTTGTAAAATCTGTGTAAATATCAGCATTATAAAACCAGACAAAAAAAAAAGAAAAGAAGCATCAATGAACAAATTGTGTTAGGTCTATCAGACAGGCAGGCAGGCTGCTAGCCAATTTGTCCATTCCTTTGCCAGCCCATCCATCTCAAGTTGGGCTGAAGTTGAAAAGACAGCCACAAAATGCCTGTCAACAGTATGTATTGAATCCAGCTGCTATGAGCAAGGTCATCCATATGAATCGAAAACTGAGAAGAAAGAAAACGTTTTCATTTGAGCTGATATTTGACAAATCAGAAATTAAATGCAATCAAATAAAAATTAACACTGTTTCACAACATTTTGTCACACTTGCATCTCCCAATCTTCTTCCACAGTTCAAATAAAAGATTTGTGCTGAATGTGTATTTGACAATTTCTTCCTTATTAATTTTAAACACATACACACACTCATAAATTTATTTTAATAAACTATAGGAAATATCTATAATTATTAATAAATGTCAAAATATATAAAGCTCAAAGTGTGTTTGTGCATACATAAAACTATGACATCAAATAAATGCAGTTCTGTTAAATCTACCAGCATGTGTCCTATATCTTGCCCAACTTCCTGGTTGTTGATTAAATGATAATATTAAGTTTTCTTTTCATTCACTGACTAAGCAACCAGTGCCAATTTTGGTTGCAATTTACAAAATTTTTCTATTCAAAAACTTTTTCAGGAAAACAAGTTTCTCAAGTCTACTATTATCACTCTTTCCAGTGTTGATGGGAGAGTGCTTCCTAACTTTTTGTTTGAAATAATGTGAAATGTAAAAATCAATTATGTCATTCTTTTCTCTTCGAATTTGGTTGGTGCTGCTATCAAAAGTCCTAAAGCATTGTGATTTCTGTTATTTGGTACAATTCTTTGTGTTTTTGTAACACCAATCCATGAGGTTTGAAGAATGATTCTCTCTAAGACCCACAGGGTTTAGTCACTCAAAGCCATTTTTAATTACT